TGGCAGGCTCTTGAGGGAGTTCTGGTTCTTTAGAATTAGAATGAGTTAACTCCTCAGGAAGGAGGATTGTGCCAGAGAAGAACGCACTGTTGAGGCAATTTTTTATTTTTTTTTTTTTTAAAAAAGATGTTTTGTACTACAGAGTATGTATCTGATCTACAAGCCATGAATGGCCCTGGCACTTTCCCAGTAAGTGACAGCATGTGATTTGTCACGTAGGAAGATCTCTGGGAGAGAATTAGTAACTAGACAAGGCACAGAACTGAGGAAGAGCGGGCAACTACTTCAGTGACTCAGGTATTGCCCTGGAAAAGAAGAGGCACCAGATTGCAGGTTTTTGCACCTCGGCAGTCCTAGCATTTGATGACTGACGCTTACCAGGTAAGGAAAAGAGAGGAATTAAAGATAAGACATTTGCCTGTGCTCATTGTTGCCAACGGAGAAAGAAGAAAATGGACTTATTAATACTTCTAGATCCTGGGGCTGGGGAGATGGCTCCATAGAATAAGCACTTGCCTGGCAAGCAGGAGGGCCGGAGTTTCATCCTCAGTTCCGAGAAAAAAGCAAAACAAAAAATAGATCCTGGTTCTTTTTTCCCCCCTGTATTTTAGGGAAGGGTCTACAGGGTGTTCAGAGTCTCACTACTAGATCAGACTCATAGGAATCCGCCTCCCACGTGCTGGGATTGCAGGCGCGCCGTGGCGGGGCCTCACGCAGGTGCCGGAAGGTCCGGGAATTGAGCGCGAGCACCTGCGCCCGTTTGCAGGTGCTTTAATCCACTGAGCTATTTGCCCGGCCCTTCTGATCCTGTTCTAACCACAGTAGGGTGGAGTCAGTGTCACCAGGATTGGAAGCGGCAAGGATGGGCAGAACGGCTGTCTCTCAGCTTGTGACTGGCGTTCTTCGTTCTTTCCAGTCATGTCACGCAGACGACATCCTGGACGCATCCAGTGATGAGTGTCCTCCACCTGTCCTGCTCAGAGGAGAATGAAGAGGATTGCCCGAGAGAGCTTTCTGACCAGAAGAGTTGATGGTTTTCCGTTCAGCACATCCAGCCTTCAGACGCAGCTGTCTCGAGGAGGAGGGAAGCGAGCGGTAGTCTTTGGAGAGAGAAATGACGACTGGATTGCGAATGTTTTTGTAGGGCTTTTTTATATTACTGTACACAGTTACAGGGTTAGTTGCCACTACAGCAGTTCCTTGAAAATAATTTAGTCATAACTTGTGAAATTACATATAGATTTTATAATATGTATACTTTTTATATACGATTAGGTATTGGTAACTTTATAGCTGTTTTATTATTTTATATCAGATATGATGGTTTTTATAACTTAAGATTTATTTTGAAACACATGAACATAGTAAAACACTTCATTTATTTGAAAATTCAGTGCCCTTTTATATATATCTTAGGAAAGTGATCTTAGGCTTTTTAGGGCTTAGGGATTATATTTAGGCATCTATCTCATGGGTTACTGAATACAATTTACATCTTTATGAGATTTTCTAATTTACAAAATGCTTTTCCGACCTTATTTAAACCACAAGACATGCTTATTAGGCTCATCTAGTAGATATTGTTATTGTTTTTTCAATTAGGGAGATAGCAATTCACAGAATTAAAGCCTCCTGGATCAAAGCTGAGACGCACACCTGCCTTCTCATTCCATACCCAGCCTCTTTTCCTGCACCCTGCTGTCCCCACCGAGGGAGCCCATGGCCCAGCACACTGGGCACCACGGTTCTGTTGACTCAGCTGGCTCCACAGCTGCGCATTCTGCAAAGACCCAGAAGGCACCTCTGCTGTCACACCGAGCCCCGGCATGACCCCATTACTCTCCTCCTGTAGCCCTCTCCCCTTTCTGTACCCAACGCCTGCCAGGCAGGGAATTTCTTTGTACTGTTGTTCCAATAGCTTTCTTCTAGCATTTGTATTTCCCTAACATTGAGTGTGCCCTAACCAAGCAAGGGATGGTGAAGAAAACAGGAGTGTCTTAAGAAATATTACTGTTCTGCTTGTAATAAAATGGAGGGCGGAAGCAAAGGGAAAGCAGCTCCCAGGCCCTGGTGTGCAGTCCCAGAGCCCCTGAGAACATAGCACAAGAACCATCCCTGTTAACCACGGTAGAGATGGGAAGCCAAGACCCTGAGAATTCGTACAGGGAGTGATTGGCTGGCGCAGTAACTCAACCTCGAGCCCAGGCCTCCTACTCTACTGGGTTTCCTACGGCACCTAAGCTGTACTTGATGAGTACCTGCAGATACTGCATTCAACCCTATCTCTGAGTACACGCAGGGTTTCTGATGTCTGTCCTGAAGACCATTAGGAAGTCAAATCGCAAGCACTAAGGAAAGTCGCAGAATGGCTGCAGAGGACCTGTGCTTCTCCTGATGCCTGCTTGGATATTAGGAAGCATTAGGGAGGCCCATTTTGAGAGCAGCCCCAGAGGGAGCTGTTGAGTGACAGACCCCAGGAGTCATGACTCGCAAACATGTGGAATTATTTGTGGTAAGTTCACACTGTCATTATGGAAGTGCAACCTTTTTGGTGTTTCCAAATTAATGATATTTCATCCACTTACCTGGAATGTTTCTCCTTTGCTTCTCTTGAGGAAACAGAAAATGCTGTAGTCACTGAGCTCAAAACGCTGAGGCATGCAGTCCACTAACACCTTACCTCCTCCCTGCGCTCTTTACCTCTTCCTCCCAATTTCTGTCACGTAACTAAAGGAAAGGGCCTATAAAAGTCATAATGATATTTATTGAGCACTGTAGCCATACATTGTGATAAAGCAGTATTATGGTTTGTATTTGTTCCCCCCAAGGTGTTTTGCAGTCATTGAGGTGCAGTTCTACAGTTTGTGATTAATTCATGATCCAAGGCTGGGATTATGGGTGTGAGGACTGCTGGGATTATGGGTGTGAGTACTGCTGGGATTATGGGTGTGAGTGCCACACCCAGCCTGGGGCAGATGGCCTGAATGTAACACAAGAGAGACTTGCTCTCTGTTGCCATTATTTCACTGTTGATGCTGTTCCTCCCTTTTCTCTCTCTGCTCTTTGCTCCTGACATGAAAAGCTGCTGTCTCCCATGTCCAGCTCTGCCTTGGAGCCAGCTGAGTATAGACTGAAACTTCCAGTAACTGTGGGCTAAATAAACCTTCCTTCCTTCATTTGGAGTGTCAGGTATTTGTCCCAGCAAAGAGAGAACAACAACTGAGATAAGCAGTTTGCCTAAATTATTTCATTATCTTTATTTTTTTTTATTTGAGGGAAGGGTCTACAGGGTGTTCAGAGTCTCACTACTAGATCAGACTCATAGTAATCCACCTGTTTACAGCCTCCCAAGAGCTGGGATTACAGGTGTGCACCACCACACCAAGTCTCAATTGCTGTCTCAGCATGAGCTATTTGGCCGGCCCTTCGTTATCTTCTTAAACCTACTATTTAAGACAGAAACTGTAAGTGATGCCTTTCTAAAAAGAAACACCTGGGCCGGGGAGATGGCTCAGTAGGATAAGCGCTTGACTGGCAAACGCGAGGATCTGAGTTCAATCCCCGGTTCCGCAAAAAAGAAAATAAATAAATAAATAAAAAATAAAAAGAAACACCTTAGGCTTAGAGAGACACGATGGTCTTTGCACAGTAGTTCTGCAGCACATCAATGTAAGAACTGGGATTCAAAGTCTTGGATTGCAGTGTCCTTCCTTTAAACCACTGAGCCAGCTTCTCGGATTCACTCAGCTCTGTAGGATAGCAGACTCTGGTTCAGTGCCATCAGAATTCCCTAGTTGCTAGAACTCATCAGAAAAAGAGTTCCTCGGGAGACAATGGAAGCATCATCCCACTAGATTTCAGCCCCTCCGAGCTCTTCCCAGAAGTAGTGTTGGTCATGTGTGCTATCTGAGTCAGCTCTCTGCAAGACCCTCTTCTCGATGCGCCTGTGACCTTCAAACCAACAAACAAGTGCTTTGAGAAACAAATGCTATCTAAGTCTTACAGCAAGGGCTCTGTGAGGATCACTTACCAGTGCTCACAGAAGCCCTTGATTATTTTTTGTCAGTTGATATTTACATAGCGAGTCTTTCTATAACACAACCCTGTGATGAGGTCCTCCCCTGGCCCACTGACTCCAGGGTTGTTTAGAGGCTGGGAACATCATCATATCCCTTCACCTCCCTTTCCAGTGACCAAGATAAGCTGTCCTTACTCCTCTATTCCTGCATAATATTCCCTGTACGCCAACCACATGGCCTAGACTCACCAGCACTCTTGCAAAGTAGGGCAACAGTTAACCAGTGCCTGGCTCTCATGAACTGTTAATGTAAACAGACCTTTTAGCCAGAATCACAGAATTACTCTTTAAATTTTGAAACCTGTTTTCATTTAAAATCAAACACTATATAAAAGAATGGAATAAATAGTACGTCCAACTTTCCAGAGGTGGCCATCAAAACTTTGGGACTATTGTTCCTGAAAGGAACGCTCCTTGCTTTTGACTTAGTATATGGTGGCCAACTTTTGTAGCATGCTGATGTCATGTTTTGAGTGTCTGCATAACTGTCACCACTCAGATAATTCATACTTTGTCTAGCTAACAATTTACTGATGAACACATATGTTGTTTTGAGTGCTCATCCATAACTCACAATGTTGCAGTTAACATCATATACTTATTAAGCCCTTTTTTTTCAAGCCCATTTATTTATTCGTCCCTGTACTCTAGGATCAATGTATTTGTAATGTGACTAAATTCATATAAGTTAATCACTAGGCAGGTCAAAGGATGATCAAAGCACAGTCCAAAGATGTTGATTTTCATTTTGGTCAACAGTCATAAATTCTCCTCCATACACCTTGGGCCAATTTATACTATCTATAGCATATGAGAATTTTTTTCTGTGTAAGATAGGAACTCTTTTGGTCAAATGGCTTTTCTGATTTTTTTTTTTTTTTTTTTTTTTTATTCAGGACCCCACGCTTGCCAGGCAAGCGCTTATTGTCCTTAAAAGAATAACCTCTCCATCATTGTTCAAATATCTGGGACGTTTTCATATTAGGTTTTAGATTTCTGTTAGCAAATTTCTTTTGACTTGCTAGATGTAGAACATTCTAGAAGTGACTTCATAACCATGTGTCAGCACATGCCCACACTCACTTTCTCCTGCTCCACATGTAGTGCTAGTAGGGGAAACTAATCTGCAATGAGTTGACTTGGATGACAACCCTCGGCAAAAGACAGAACAAAATAGGAACACACCTACAAGTTTTTTAGGGCCTCAGTTTCTCTGCTGTATAAAGAGGATGTACCGGTGTAACCTGAGACAGTTCAGCTCAACAAACACTTCCTCAGTGCCTACTCAATGCCAGACATAATGGGAATCATCACACTAGGAGCTGATAATTTTTCTTTTCAGCTTTCTGAAAAGAAAAATATTTTCTTTTTTTTTTCAAAGGTTTTTATTTTTCCTTAAGTTTTGTTTTTTAGGAACCTCTTAGGTTTAAATAATCCAAAATAATTATAATAACTCTTGACCAGGAAAAAAAAACAAAAAAACAAACATACCGTATGAAGATCCTCTCCAATAATAAATGCAAAGCAATGTCAAAATATGGAATCAAAGGACATTTGTGAAATGTTTGCACAATTAGAAAATGTTATTCCCCCCCCCCAAAAAAATGGGACATTTTATTTTCTCTGCTAAGTTAAATGCAACTTTGTACGGGGTCAGTATGTTGGACATTTTTATGATTTCTATACAGAAAGCACTAAACCAACATTAAAAACAACATAAAGTCCATTACATGCAACTTTGAAGGTAGAAAGAACATTGGACAGAATATGCCTGTGGAACTTAACTTTAAAAAATGAAATACCCAGTGTTTTAAGCCACAGTTATACACATGTAATACCACTGTGTCTGCATGATTGTATTGTGAATATTAAATACAATTATGAGTTTGATTTCTTCGTATGACTTTTTACATGTAAATGTGCTACTTTTTTAAAATGTATTTGGTTGTCGCAGGGTCTCACTACACAGCTTGGACTCATGGTGATCTTCATGCTTTCAGCCTCCGCAGGTGCTGGGATTACAGGCGTGTGCCTCTACTTTGTCGCTGGCTTAGCCTGCATGGGGGTGGGGGGGGATGGGACTGGCGCTGCATATGGTGCTGGGGATCCAGCGGAGGTCCCTGTGCTTGCCTAAGCTTACCCAAGCAGGCACTTCAGTCCACTGAGCTATCTCACTGGCCCTAAACGCACACACTACTTCTATTCCTTTAAGTTCCATATTGCTCTTGGGTTGGGTTGGGCAATGAGATCAGGAACTCAGGTTCTCCCTCTTCTCCCCTGTTTACATTCCATCACTCTGTTGCTTCATCACATTTCCTCCTTTTACATCATTCATCAGCTTGTCATGATCTTGCTTTGTTCATTGTCTGTCTTAATGATAGGAGTGATGGTGGGTGTGGTCTCTGAGAGGGCAGGAGCACTGTCTAT